AGCCAAGGTTTTTTAAACATTTATTTCAAAAACAACTTCATATATACTTGTATATTACGTTGTGTTAAGGATTTAATTATGCATCTCAGACAGATACTCGAAAATCCTAACTCACGGCACCCACGAACATGACTTTATTTGGAAGTAAGTTTTTCACTGATATTTCCAGTTTAGAAAGGGGCCTGCTAGTGCGGAGTAGGTCATTTACAGAATTATCCAATCATAGTGATGCTCTTATTTTTAAAAAGTAGAAAGATAAGTAGAAGACAAACATACACCAGCAAAATTGTACTTCCAAAAACCAAGGAGTGCTGGGATTACCAGAAGCAGGAAGAATCATAAATGAATATTCTCCTCCAGCCTTTAGAGGGGACATAGCCATGCTGACATACCATATTCAAAAATACCAATCTTCAGAACTGTAAAACAATAAAAGCCACTTTAACGCTACTCCATTTGTAGTACTTTGTTACAGCAGCCTTGAGAAACTAATACAAAGAGATGTTTCTGCCCTTAGGCTTTTCTTCTGTTACTGTTTATGGCTCTGGCTCGATATTTCCTGATGTAAGTATTACTGATTTTTGGAGCCGGTAATTAATTCCTGGATGTGGAAATTACATTATGCAATGGCATCCACCACTAGATGCCAGTAGCATCCTCCCAATGGTAACAACCAAAAATTTCTCTAGACTACCAGATGTTTCCTGGGAGGAAAAAATTACTCACAATCTATAATCTTTGCCACTCTGAGGCCTTCAGAGAGAAGATACTCACTCTAGAATAATTAACCATGATGGGGGGGGGGGGCGAGTAGCATTTGCCTAAGTAGGATAGAAGGATTAATGGAAATGAGATTTAATGGGAGGAAGTGGAGAAAGTGTGATTACATGGTGGGTACTGTAATTAATGTTAAGAAACAAATTGTGCATGAGTGATTCAACAAAAAACCAATTTGTTAATTTTCACTAAAATTACAATTATGAAAATTTTTTTTAAACCCAAACATTAGTCTGCAATGAGTAAAAACTGTATTTAACATTGAGTCAATGTAGCTCTTTGGACTTAACTTGCATCTTTGTCTGTTTTCCAAATGCCAGTTGTCAATTCATATAGTTACTTGAGCATCTAAGAGCCAAACTGGATCTTGTCTTCTTTGCATTGCTCTTGGTACTCAAGGAGGTTTCAACTCCTAAAGGCTGACAGAAAAAGGCAAAACCTTTTTACTACTGCAAACACAGGGGCAAGTTTCCCAATAAGCAAGAGCTTACTTCCTAAACAAAAAACATGAGAAACTCTTGAGTATGTATTTATTAGTAAATAAGCAAAAGTAAGCCTTATTTTTTTGCTCTGGGAAAATCTGCTCTCAGGGACCTCTCCAGAGCAATGAGGTTAGTCTAGAGGCTAAAGTGTGCCTGATCCAGGCCTTAGTCTTCATAATTACTTGCTATGCATCAGAGAACTGGACAATGACTAGGGATGATAGAATAAGAATTGATGGCTTTGAGCTGTGGTGCTGAAGAAGAGTATTGAAGAGAACACAAACAGGTTCATCCTGGAGGAGGTGAAACCAGGCTGCTCCTTGGAAGCAAGGATTCTGAAGCTCTGTCTGACATACACTGGGCATGTTGCAAGGCAGGGCCAGTCCTTGGAGAAGGACATCATGCTTGGAAGGATGGTGGGACAGCACAAGAGAGAAGACCCTGAGAGGAATCTATTCAGTGACCGGGGTAATGGGTATAGGTATGTCAGAGATGATCAAATTGGCTTGGGATTGAGCAGGGTTCAGAGGTGTTATATATTGAGTTACTATGAGTTGGAGTTGACCTATATAACAATAGCAAGCAGATGCCTTATTTAAGGAGCTTTGGTGACCCACTGGTAATGAACTATGCTGTAATCTTAAAAGCACATGGTTTTAAACTGAAATCTACCAGCTGCCCTGAGGGAGAAAGATGGGCTATCTCCTTCCATGCAATTAACTGCCTCTGTAAACCCACTGAAAGGTTAGCTATGGATCGATTTAAACTTGAAGGTGCATAACAGCAACAAAAAAACCTTATTTACCTTCCTTACTAGAGTGGAGGGACAGTGCAGAAGAGGAAAACCCTCAATGAGATGGATCTATTCAGTGATTGGGGTAGTGGGAGTGGGTGTGTTGGAGAAAGCGAAGTTGGCACAGGATAGAGCAGGGTTTAGGGCTCTTGTACATGGGGTTGCTACGAGTGGCAAGTGACTGGAAGGCACTTAACAACAACAACTAGATACTCCAGCCCTGTTAGGGAATGCAAATTTGAAAAGAAGTTTTGATTCTGTAGGAAGGTGATGTAGGGTTGAGAGAAGCAGACATAAATGATATATAGGAGAATATCTGATGAGGTGGAAATAATGTGAACTTGTTTACTCCATGTTATTAGTAAGTACAGCAAGTTCATGCTTACCTTGCTTATTGGTGGTCCTACAACTGCGGAAAATTTAAGAATCTTCATAAACTAACTGGCTTAATGCCGTCAACTCTCATTAATAAGTCTGGTTAATATAATTATATTCATTTGTGTGGAAATCTAGATCTCACTTGAACATATTAAAGCAAATGTGAGTGTCTTATAGCTTCCTAATTTATGATGGGTTAGCAGAACTATTCTGAATTTAAATGGAGGATAAAATTTTTCAAAAATCTTGTTATTGGTTTTATTCTGTATTTGTCCTTATGAGACTGAGTTAGTTCACTCAGCATAATGCTGTCTAGACTCTCCTATGTTATATAGAATTTTGCAAAATCATTATTCGTTGGTGTTGAATAGTGGTCCATTGTGTGAATGTACCACAATTTCAATTTCTCAATCTATGCATTTGTTGATGGGCTTTTGGTCTGCTTCCATATTCTTGATACTGTGAATAATGCTACTGTAAACATAGTGTACTTATCTCCATTTGTGCCTCAGTTGTAATTTCTTTGGGGTATATTCCTTGCAGTGCAATAACTGGTCATATGGAATTTCCAAGTTCAGCTTTTTTACTAAATGCCCACCATCAGGTCATGAGAGTCCCAATCTCCCATATCCTCTCTAACTTGTATTGTTTGCTGTCCTGCTGAACTTTGTTACTGCTGCTAGGGTGAAACTGTATCTCATTGTGGTTTTAATTTGCATCTCTCTTCTTGCGACTGATTGTTGAGCATTTCTTCATGTGTCTGTTGGCCAAATATCTTACTCTGTGAAAATTCTTTCCATGTCTTTTGCCCATTTTGTAATTGTGTTATCAAGCTTTTCCTTGTGGAGGCCCAGGAGTATTCTGTAAACTTTTGTTATGAGACCATTGTCTGAGATGGTACTGCCAAATGTTTCTTCTGGTCCGTAGGTTTTCTTTTCACTCTATTGGACAAAGGTTTTGATGCATGCAGGGACTTACTTTTTAAAAGGTCCCATTTGTCAAATTTGCTCTTCCTCGTTGTTCATGAGAAAACTTTTTAGAAAGACCACTTAAAAAAATAAAATAAAAAGACCACTCACAGAGACTGGTAGTATTGTTTCCTGGTAGTAGGTGAGACTTCAGACAGACTGAGAAAGAGCACTTTGGGATGCTCATTTTTTACCATGTCATGATATCAAAGAAAAGATCTTCATTTTACTTCTAGTTTTGCTGCAATCTAAGTAGGCAATGCTAGGCATCTCCTTCAGAACATCTTTTACATGTATTACATGTACAAAAATAAAAGAACTGAATAAAATGTTCTTCCCTTCTGACTTAAACATCTTAGCATGAACAGTAGAGCCAAAGTTGTTGTGGTTTTCTTCTCCCCTAAAACCAAAGTGAGTGAGAACATCTCCAGAGTGTTTGACAGTTTCACCTCAGCTCTACTAATTAGGTCAAATTGGTGCTCTCAGGCTTACATCAAAATAACAATGGTGATAATATTCCCATTAGTCCGATAAGAATTTCAGGGTTACCTCACCATACCTGTCCAGACAGCCCAGAGTGGGTGAGGCTGAGTCATGTGGGCTGGTACTTTCTTACAAGACTCACCAGTCCAGTTTCAGCTTCAACTCTTTTTTAAAAGCCACATCCCAAGCTTGCAAATTGACTGGGTTGGCTTCAGCTCAGTTCTAAAGCACTGAAAGTAAAGACCTATTTTACATTTGACAATAATTTTCCTCCCTAAACGTCTAACACATTCTTTAGGCAGTAACCCTACCCTCCTGGTTTGCTCAATTCTTACTTGACTTGGGAATTTCTCTCATCTGCACTCAATTAATGGAGCTAGAATTTCAGTTTGTGAAAGTACCTAGGCAGCAACTCATTACTTTAGGTTTGCAAATTATTTAATTATGAGATCTTCATCTCACCAATCTCTCAGTGATTAAACTAGTGATCAAAATGAAAGTAAAACTTTTTTTACATGAATATTTACTTGAGCAAAATGGAAATTCCTTTTACACATAGAAGATCCATCCTATTTTCATTTATCATTAAAAATCAAAAGTGCCCTTCAAATTGTTGGTATTTTACATTCTTGTCACTACACTGATCTTTAACCAAAGAATAGTGGTCATTGAAGCTTTAGACTGTGATGACACTAGCCTGTGTGTTATACAGACTCCATAGCTTGGTAGCAAGAAGATAAAAGCAAACAAAAGGTTCAACTTATGGTCCTGATTATTGGGTGATGAGGAAAAGGATGCTGGTTATGGGCTTTATTGCAAGGGCATAACTCTAGACTGCATCACCAAAAGTTCTACACACCTAGCCATTGAAGGATTGGTGACTTTGTGTTATATGAGGGAGGAGCCAGAAGGTACTGGAACACCCTGAGCAATGTTTCCACCCTATTCATGTTCTCTCTTTCCTATCAACTAAGCCGGCTTGATTTGCTTCCTAACTTGTAGACAGAATTACAGGTGGAAAATATATAAAAGAACAATTTTAGGCCAACAGATCATTCTCATTGTAGAGTTAGTGACAGTACTGTCAAGGGGAGAAAAAATAAATGTAGTTGTTGGAACATGTCAGAAATCTTTTTAAGACAATGGATTGTTTCACACAGAATGGAGATGTGGCTTCTGATTCTGGTGGCGCATTTGTTCCAGAGAAATGTGAATTCAGGACACATGCCAACTAAAGCCGTGGACCCAGAAGCATTCATGAATATTGTAAGTTGAGATTTTCTATAATGTTTGGGAAAATTGTGTCTTTACATGTAGTCAATGTTTTTTACTCTGTGTATTATCTGTATTACATATTTATAATACTTATCTATTATAGTGGTTGACAGTAATATACCTTAGTGAGAAAACAGTGCATTATATTAAAGAATGCTAAGCTGAGTCTCTATCTTGTTGTGTACCATCAAGTTGGAACCAACCCATAGATGGTGGCTGCCCATAACTGACCTTCTGACCCATAGCTGACCCTCTAGGGGATTTCCAAATGTAGTAAATCTCATGGAGAAGATTGCCTATCTTTCTTCCATGGAACAACTGATAAGTTTGACCGGCATGCCTCTGGATTGGCAGTGCAATTCCTTACCAATAAGCCACCAGAGTTCTCTAAGTTCTGTTCTAGCAGTCGACATGGTTTTTCATCCAACAGGTACATAAATTCAAGAAAAATACATACATTTAGGCAAATAACTTAATTCCTTTAGAGCTCAAACTTCATTGAATGTTGCCTCACACTCTTAGCTTCTCCAACCAATAAATAGAGATCTCACTGAGATATTTTGGTCCAAGCCCAGATTCCCATGATTTTGTCCATTTTGTTTCCTTATTATTCTTTTTCCACTTTTTCCCTTCTTGTCAAAGTGTCATGCTTCACCTCATGCAATCTGCACATTCACTTGTAGTTGTATCCTGCCCATTCTAATTGACTCATTGTATCCTGTTCTGGACTGGTAACTCTATTCAGCAGCAATGAAAGGACCCTGAATGAGTAGAGAGAAAGTCTCTGTAAGTAATTGAATTATTTGACAACTATTTTGATCTCTCAGAGGTTTAGGGGTGAAGGGAATTTACTTTTAGATTCTTAATTGGGTTTTAATAATGACAACAATATATTAATATGTATCCTATATCAGACTTCACATTAGGTATAATATCTCTAGTACCACAGCCTCTTCTAGCAGTTTTTGTTGATGTGCTGCTCCAGTCTTTATTGGATAATTTTCAGCAAAATCTTGCTTGCATGTGACATTAATGATATTGTTCAATAATTCTGCACTCTGTAGGGTCACCTTTCTTTGGAATGGGAACAAATATCAATCTCCTTAAGTCAGTTGGCCAAGAAGCTGTCCTCCAGATTTCTTGACACAACTTAGTGAGCACATCCAGGGCAGCATCTTTGTGTTGAAATATGTCAATTTGTATGTTGTCAATTCCTGAAGCCTTTTTTTTCACCACCTCTTTCAGAGCAGCTTGAATTTCTTCCTTCATCACCACAGGCTCTTGCTTATACTTTGTTTCATGAAATTCTTCTGTGTCTGCCAATTCCTTCTGGCATAGTGACTCTGTATACTCCTTCCATCTTCTTTTAATGCTTCTTGGATCATTTAACATTCTTCCCAAAGCATCCTTAAGTATTTCCATTTGTGGCTTGAATTTGTTTTTCAATTCCTTCAGCTTAAGAAATGCTTTCACTGAAGAAGACATTCAGATGGCCAACAAGCACATGCAGAAATGTTCAAAATCCCTAGCTCTAAGAGAGATGCAAATCAAAACAACTATGAGATGTCATCTCACCCCAGTCAGAATTGCAAAATTTAACAGAACAGCAAGTTACAAATGCTGGCGAGGTTGTGGAGAAACTGGAACCCTTATTCACTGTTGCTGGGAGTATAAAATGGTGCAACCACTGTGGAAGGCGGTATGACGCTTTCTTAAAAAGTTGCAAATAGAGATACCATTTGACCCAGCAATTCCACTACTGGGAATATACCCCAAGAGACCATCCAAGCAGATATATGCACACCCATGTTTATCTCGGATGTATTCACAATAGCAAGGAGTTGGAAACAGCCTAAATGCCCATCAACAAATGAATGGATAGAGAAGCTGTGGCATATTCACACAATGGAATACTATGCTGCATTGCAAAACAAGGAATTCATGCAATATTATTCAAAATGGGTGAGCATGGAGGACATTATGCTTAATGAAGTATCTCAGTCACAAAAGGACAAATACTGCGTGGTGCCACTGCTGTGAAGCAGGAGAGGACTGACCTCAGTGTTGGGAGGAGACTGAGAAGGATGGATTCAATAATGTATATTGTACTGAAACAGATGAGGGAGAAAACTGATTAAGAGGGAAAATTATTAGGTATTTTTGTTATGACAGGAGTATAGAGCAAAGGCTGTATAGTGGAGTGGACCTGGGGGAAGGGATTGTAAAACAATGAAAGAATTTTTCTTTTACTTTTCCAAGAGGGTAGTGTACCAGGAGGGTTGGGAGGGGGGAAATGTGCAATGAATGAATGGAAATCCAAAGTTTCTGTAAATTTTCATTGAAATGAATAATAAATTTTCAAAAATGTAAAAAGAAAAAAAGAAATACTGAGCGAGTTTTGTCCTTTTGATTTTCTGATTCCAGCTCTTTGCACATTTCATTATAATACTTCGCTTTCTCTTCCCGAGCTGCCCTTTGAAATTTTCTGCTCAGCTCCTTAATTTCTTGATTTCTTCCTTTAGCTTTGGCTTCTTGGCACTCTAATACAATATTCAGAGTGTCATCAGACATCCATCTTGGTCTTTCCTTCCTCTTCTGCCTTTGTAATGAATGACCTTTTGCATTTCTCATGGACCATATTCTTGATATTCCACAGCTCATTTGGTCTATGCTCTTTGGTCGTCAAGGTCTCAAACCTGTTCCTGAGATGGTTTTGAAATTCCAGTGGGATAGACTTAAGGTCAAATTTTGGTTCCTGTGTATTTGATTTAATTTTCTTCAACTTCAGTTTGAATTTGTATATGAGTAGTTGGTGGTCTGTTCCACAATCAGCACCTGGTCTGGTTTACACAGCTGACATTGAGCTTCTCCAGCAAGTCTTTCCACAGATGTACTCTATTTGATTCCTATGCATACCATCAGGTGGAATCCATGTGTACAGGCTGTGTTTGTATTTCTTATAAAAGGTATTTGGAATGAATAAATAATTGAATGTGTAGGATTCTATCATTCTATCTCCAGGCTCATTTCTATCACCAAGTCCATGTTTTCAACTACAGATCTTTCTTCCCTGTTATTAACTTTTGCATTCCAGTCACCCATTATTATCAATGCATCCTGATTGCATGTTCGATCGATTTCTGACTGCAAAAGTTGGTAGAAATCTTCTATTTCTTTCTCTTTGGCTTTATTTGTCGGTACATATATTTGAATGATAGTGGCATTCACTGGACTTCTTTGTATGCTTATGGATATTATCCTGTCACTGACCATATTGTATTTCATGATGGATCTAGAAATGACTTTCTTAATTATGAAAGCAACCCCATTTTTTCTCACGTTTTCATCGTTTGACTGTGTGGATCACAAAAAACTGTGGCTGACTCCGAGAAGAATGGAAATCCCAGAAAACTATATTGTGCTTATGAAAAACCCATACATAACCAGGAGGCAGTCATTAGAACAGAGCAAGAAGACATTGCATGATTCAAAATTAGGAAGGGAGTTCACCAGGGATCTATTCTGTCTCCATACCTTTTCAATCTTTATGTAGAACAGAACATTTGGGACACTGGGCTGTATGAGGAGTAATGTGGTATCAGCTTTGGAGAAATATTCATCAACAACCTGCGTTATGGAGATGACACAACCCTGCTTGCTAAAACTGAGGAGGACCTGAAACGCTTGCTGCAGGTCAATATGGATTGAAGCTCAACATCAAGAAAACAAAGATGCTCACCACAGGGCCATTTGGGTGGTGAAGAGATTGAGATTGTTAACAGTTTTAGTTTGCTTGGCTCCACAATCAACACTCTTGGTACTA